GAAGAACTTTTCTGTATGCACCGTCTCTACCCAACTCCTGCTTTTAGAGACTTCTATCCTGTCCCCCCTCCGTCTCCTCTTTTCTAAGTTGAAATGTCCCAGTCTCTTTAGCCTCTCTTCATATGGGACCTGTTCCCAACCCCTGATCATTTTAGTTGCCCTCCCCTCTCCCAGCCTCTCTCTTCCCCTCTCCCACCTCCTTTTCCCAGTCTCCCCCAGTTTTGTTCAATAAAGACAGATTCCATTTTTGAACACAATTGTCCTTTATTTTGTACATCAAGAAAAGGGGCTAGGAAAGGGTAAGTGGAAGGAGGTGAGGGAGGAATGGGGCACGAGCCCCCGATGGGGAGGACTGGGCTGGCTCTGTGGGCTTCTGGGGGTGGAAGCTCTCCTGCAGCCCCCCAATTGCCCCCTCTCCCCAGATGGCAGCCTGCGGCAAGTGCAGCCGGGCTGATGGCCGAGTGGTGTGATGTGCCCAGTGTGGGAACTCCGGGCACTGCAAGCCAGGACTGGTTTTCAAGCGGGGCACCCCTGAGAACTGTCTGTCCGGGGTGGGGGTCGGGACCCTTTAAGCACAGCCCTCGGCTAGCCTGAGACAGCATCTCCATGCTCTAAGTCCTCCTCTGATGCCCTGCCGGCACTGCTTCCGGCCATCTTTAAGCCCTGTTCAGGGTCAGTTCGAATTAGCAAAACGCTAATTCGAACTAGTTTTTAGTTCTAGACGCGTTAATTCGAACTAAGCTTATTCGAACTAACTAATTCGAACTAAGTTAGTTCGAATTAGCGCTGTAGTGTAGACATACCCTTGGATAGGAAACCCCATGCTAGGAAACTATCTGTTTTGTTCAGAATGCATCTGGCCACCTGCTCAGCAACACAGAACACAGGGAACACATCACCCTGATATACTGTTCACTGGAATGGATTCTCTTTGAATACAGAATGCAGTCTAAGGTCATTGTCCTTATTTCCGAAGTCCTGCATTGTCCTGTCTGAGTAAACATCTCTCCCTTCATAACCAAAATCTCCCATTACATTCTGCTAGAACTATGTCACTGTCAGCCAACAGCAGTTGGAACCTGACTCTGAGAGACAGAACTTTCACAGCAAAGGGCCCCAGTGCCTGAAGGAATATGAGTGACCATTAGCCTTAAAGCATTCAGAGATGCCTCTTTGCAGCTGCACTTTCCTATGATAGAACCCTCATTCACACAGATTCAGTAATTTAAAAACCAAACATCCTCAGACTGCTGGGAAGAAGGCGATATGAGTGCAGGGGACCAGACTTGATGACCTCTCAAGGTTCCTTCCAGGTCTATGATCCTACGAGGCTATTACGAGGTGGTGGAGGCTATTACTTTGGTGATGAGGGTCAGATGGATGGATGGAGGAAAGGACCTGTTGTTACCACTCTTTTGTCACAATGAAGTCTGTTATAACAACTACTAAAGAAAGAAGATTCTACAAAGAAGTCCATCCTAGAACAACTGAGATATCAGATATGTTCTGAGGGTGATACATATTTTTATTTTACCTATTTCTTCATTATTCTCAGATACCAAAGGTTCCTCATAATCTTGATAAAATGTGGTGATTCTAGTACCATCAGCATGATCCACTATCTTGGTATCATCCATTTTCTGAACCATTAGCACCTTGTCTTCTCGTATTACCATAATCTGAAAGGGTAAAAGAATACTGGTTTCCACTGGTTCTCAGATACCACTGTAACAGCCCTATCAATAATACATTAAGTAGGTAAGATATTGCACATTTGACAAAGCTAAACCAACACAATTTTATATACATCAGTGGTTTCAAAGTTCAGAAGTTTTTCTGAATCTAATACCTTGTATCTTTAAGGCTGTGTCTAGACTACATGTCTATCCTACTGAGCTTAAAGATTTGGTTGATAGTGTAAATATTACAAGTCATGAGATTTGTTTATTTGATATATTTTTTTTAGATCTCAAATATTATACTCTTAGTGTACGTCTAAACTACATGGCTCCGTCAACGGAGCCATGTAGATTTGTTTGTTTGGCAAAGTCAAATGAAGCCGCGATTTAAATAATCGCAGCTTCATTTAAATTTACATGGCTGCCGCGCTGAGCCGACAAACAGCTGATCAGCTGTTTGTCGGCTCAGCGCGGCAGCCATGTAAATTTAAATGAAGCTGCGATTATTTAAATCGCGGCTTCATTTGACTTTGCCAAACAAACAAATCTACATGGCTCCGTTGACGGAGCCATGTAGTTTAGACGTACACTAAGAGTATAATATTTGAGATCTAAAAAAAATATATCAAATAAACAAATCTCATGACTTGTAATATTTACACTATCAACCAAATCTTTAAGCTCAGTAGGATAGAACTATAATATGAGAATAGCAGTACCATTCCATTAACTGGGTCAGTTGCCTGATAAGTTAACAGTGGTTTCAAATCCATTCTGTCTGCTCCTTTAGTGCCCACTTGAATGCCTGATGGAGTGGTTGTTATCCAGGTGCCTGTCTGACTGTCCCCAGATTGTAGCCCAGTAGGCAGGGGTTCATGGACCACAGATTCAGACAACTCAGATTTGGTTACTGCTCCTGTGTTACCCTTCTGTCCACCCTTTCCTGCAAGAACAAACAAACATCTGTTGGTCTAAGTCAGTGTAGTATGTAGTATAGGGCTTCAAAAGACATGTCAGCAAACTATCAATGATTCTGAAATTTCCAAACAGGACATTTTCAAAATAAAATCCACAGCTTGCTGAAATGGCTGGAGGCTCAACTGAGGTCAAGAAATCCCAAAATGTGGTTTAACTTGCTTTCTTCCTGTCACTGCAGGATGAAATCAAAGCAAATTTTCTACAGGATTTTACTTATGATGAGCTCAGTCAACAATTTCTATTCATGAAATACCTCAGTAAAGTACAAGTTAACGTTATGATTATAGGTAATTTTTGAACTGTACTCTGAGGTCCTTACTCAGCCCTTAGTTAGCCAAACATCCAATGACTTCAATTGGAGCATCACTGAATAAGGACAGGATAAAAATTGAGTAAAAGGTGAATAAGGTCACAGGGATTTGATATTACAAAAGATCTGAGATTTTACTTTAATATACTTTATATTGGGCACACAGCTATTGGTGAACTAATATTCATTCATGTTCTTCCCATTAGAAGAAAAAGAAAAGGCCGGAGAGAAAGAGAAGTGAATGCTTAGGAAGATGACAAACTTGATAATTATTACAACACCTATGTGCAGATAAAAAAGGATACTCTCAACACTGGTAGAACTTTCAGATGGCAGAAAAACTTTTTCTGCTGGTTGAGGTCTTGCTACCATGCCATAATTCCAGATGAAACACTTAGAGATCAACACTGAAAACGTTACCTTTTTTAGTGCTGATCTCAGGAGAAAGCTCTGGTTTTAGTAATGATTGGGTCTGTAGGGTGCTCTCAACAGTGGATGATGGTGTACTAGCTGCAGGTGATGGTGTTAGAACTGGGCCAGAATCAGGACTCTTGATCACTGTGCCATCAGGAAAAAGAATCTGGGGGAAAACAAAGCAGTTCTTTATAGAATAATTTCAAACAACAAAAGGATTATAAAGCAGATAAAATATTCAAATGAACGTGATAGAGAATGGGGAAAAAGAGGAAATAATTCCTCAGCGGAAGAAACAATTATATACAACAAATGTGGTTCTTCTTGACAGATTGTGCACATATCTTCTGCTCTTGATACAGGTCACAAGCTGGCTGGTCTTCTTTACAGGGAGATGGGCCCAGTCCCATTTAACTTGCTTCCCCATGTGGAGAGAATAAAGACTGTCATGTGCCAGGTGGGTCATGCAACTGCATCAGGCCTCTCTGGAGTATAGATAAGAGGGGTTTCAGGAAGGCAGTCAAGACAGAGGAGAGGCCTGGCCAGAGAGAGAAGGTCCTACGTCATCTCCTTGGAGAAATGAAGGATTTCAGGTAGCAAGTTACAGCTTAAAACAGAGCAGGGTAGGGTTGCCACTCATCTGGTTTTCACTCAGTCAGTCCAGGTTTCAGCATGTGCGTCAGAGTGCCATTTGATAAGCCTTGAAAAGGTGGCAACCCTAAGCAGAAGGAGGAAGGCAGCACAGCAATCTCTGCCTTCAGTGCCAGGCTGCTCATATGGCTTGTGGCAACACATAGCCCTGTGCATCCCCTAGGCAGTGGGCAAGGTGGCTTCAGTCATGCTGCTGAAGACCTTGTGAGCAATGGGAGCACGGCCACGGGAGGAAGAGGCAGAGCAGGGGGCAAGACCTTTGGGGTCTGGTTACGAAATATTAGAAAGGTAGCAACCTTAGAGCAGGGAAAATCTCAGGTAGAAAAGCCCCAGGAGTGGTAGTGTGAGAAAAACATGGAAAGACTTGAGGAAGGATTCTCTGCAACTCAGCATCCTGAGAAGAGGAATAAAGGGTATGTCTACACTACAAAGTTAGTTCAAACTAACTTTCATAGGCGCTACACTAGCGCTCCGTTAGTTCAAATTTAATTCGAACTAACGGAGCGCTTAGTTCGATCTAGGTAATCCTCATTTTACGAGGATTAAGCCTCGTTCTAACTAGCTAGTTCGAATTAAGGGGTGTGTAGCCCCTTAATTCGAACTAGTGGGAGGCTAGCCCTCCCCAGGTTTCCCTGGTGGCCACTATGGCCAACACCAGGGAAACTCTTCTGCCCGCCTCCCGGCCCCCTTAAAGGGGCAGGGGCACGGTCTGGCTACAGTGCCTGTGCCAGGTGCAAACCCGCCAACA